AAAATTTTGTTTATGTTAGTATGTAAATAATGCTCTATAAGTATTGTGTAGCCAAACACATGTAAATGATTGATTTGTTAAAAGAGTCCAGTTAATAAATTGTTCGGGATACCTGAAATGAGTCATCCTGTTTGATATCTCGTTTTGTGTATCATAAATATACAATTGAGTACATCTCGATCATCCACCCTCTTGTGGAAACAAAGATGATATGTGATGATGATTGTGCCCTTTTAGAGTAAACTGCGGAGCTGTTTGACCGTTGTTTTGAGATACATCAATTTTTCCATCCATATATGTGAAGTAAAATCTGTTATTGTATTTTATTATATTTTTCATGATATGAGAACTCCTCGAATCAATTTCATGAAATAAATTATTCAGCAAGTCTGGCGGTTTTTTAAAAGTGGTAGTTGAACTTTTCTTTTCATGCAACAAATCGAGAACTCTGGATTTTCTGAATGTCTATATTTTTGGCTCTTTTTTCATACTACAACAAAGATCCACAAAATTGACATGTAGATGAGGGATCTCCAAAATCAATTATTTCTATAGGTAAAATAAAATATGATATCACTAAGATTTTCCAAACATTGCACATATTACATAACTTATACGTGTACATATAATTAAAACATACCTTTAATTTCAGCTCCTCCAAATATAGGATTATCTAAAAATGAATCCCTTGTGCTCTTTTGGTCATTGGAGTTTTCTACCTCCACATCTAAAATTGAAATATATTGAGTGCATCTACAAATATAGGATTTTCCAAATATAGGATTTTACAAATATAGGATTATCTAAAAATGAATCCCTTGTGCTCTTTTGGTCATTGGAGTTTTCTACCTCCACATCTAAAATTGAAATATATTGAGTGCATCTACAAATTAAAGATTTTCCAAACATTGCACATATTACATAACTTATACGTGTACATATAATTAAAACATACCTTTAATTTCAGCTCCTCCAAATATAGGATTATCTAAAAATGAATCCCTTGTGCTCTTTTGGTCATTGGAGTTTTCTACCTCCACATCTAAAATTGAAATATATTGAGTGCATCTACAATATTGATTATGTACTATTTTCCTAGATGGTTTGAAATATAAATAATTTAAACACATTTACCATCATAACGATTATTACCTTCATAAAAACTTATCACATGTGTTATAGGAGATAGATCTATTATTACCTTCATAAAAACTATGTTTGAGAGTGCGACGTTCCACCTGACGACGCTGCCTCTTCACCTGTACTTGTAATATCTATCATAAAAAAATTGTAAATCTGTAAGAATTGTATTTTTCCCACCATTCACATAAAACATCACCACATAGCAAATAATTTAAGGTATTCCGAACCAAGTATAAATTGATGTTAAATTTAGATTATTTTTAAGGTGTTATTTATAGATATGATCAGTCCTTCTTTCCACTATTCACATAAAGCATCACCATGCGAGTTTTTAATGTCTATGTTTTTTTAAAAAATCAAATGTATTGTAATCGATCACATAAAGTAGGTAAAAATTACTTTGGAAAAAAATTCGTTACTTTACTACCATAACTCATTATCATAGATATTACTTAAATATATACATCGAGCACTTAAATAGAAAGAATTCCCTTTTTTCAAGGTAACCATTCGGTGTTTGTAAATATGATATATTTAAACTTAAACTCGTCAATGTTAATTTAATTTTTATTTTATGAATATATATTTTCACGCAATGTGGATTGTGTGAAATGCCAATATAGAAACAATAACTATCAATTATAAACTATCAATCTACAATTTATCAATAATTTCATTTGATAACACTGAAGCAGGAAGTTTCGATGAATCAATTACGTCTTACATACATGTACATTTTCTTATTTTTTAAACTTTAATGGCAAGTTTGAATTATTTACATTAATCATTCTATATCAATTCCTAATTGTTTTCCCGTATGCATATCATAAAATATAAAATTTGTACTCAGATTTTATTAGAATCACTACCCATTCATTTCCCGCTTTATTTCCAAGTTTGAAATTATTTATTGACAAATTTTTCAAAATATGCTTATATTTGTATTCAAGTTTTTTGATATTCACCATTCAATTTATTATTTTCCTATTAGATTATAATTTAAAGGAAAATGAAATTAAGCAGTCATACTCCCACATCATTTTATTCCCACTAATCTAAAAAAAAAGTAATAAAATTATTTTAGTGAGCTATATGCATATATACCTAAATATATATTAACAATTTTTCATTTTAATTATCCATGAGTTCTATGAAACTTAGGAACGACATTTTTTTATGGATGCACATTATGATCGCTAAAATAACATTATAATAATTGAAAGTTTGCACATCTTTTTTATGTAATTTTTATTGAAGTATTCATTTTCTCCTTCGAGTGTTCATTTTGACCATTTCCACCGTTTAGTTCAATTGTCTTTGCAAACATATACTATCTCTGTCCCCTAGTATTTGTCAAGTTTTGATTTTTTTTAGTCAACTGTTTTTCAATCTTTGAACTATAATTAAATTAAATATATATTGTATATTAATTATATAACATAATATTTTGGAAATATTTGATATAATAAATATAATAAAATTATTTTTGTACCAATATCTAATAAAAATATTTTTGGTTTTATTTAATTTTTATTTAAGTATTCATTTTCTCCTTCGAGTATTCATTTTCACCATTTCCACCATTTAATTCAATTGTCTTTGCAAACATATATTATTTCCGTCACTGAGTATTTGTCTAGTTTTAACTTTTTTTGGTCAACTGTTTTCAATCTTTGACCTATAATTAAATTAAATATATGTTGTATATTAATTATATAAAATAATATTTTGAAAATATTTGATATAATAGTTCTAATAAAATTATTTTTGTTTTTATTTAATTTGAAGTCAAAGTTTACCAATTTTGACCGAAAAAAATCAAAAGTGGACAAATACTCAGGATCGGAGAGAGTACTAATTTCAAACAGATATAAATTTTCTAAAAATATGTATCCAAGTTAAAGAAATATCTGTTAAATCTAAGTTTTTAAACACGTCTAATAAATATAATGTATGCATTATGAACTTATTTTATTAAATTTATATAGCAGACCATTCACCGTTCATTTGTACCTAATAGTTTTTAATATTTTTAAATATATTTCTTATTAAAAAATGTCTAAAATTTGAATGGTGAGTTTTCGTTAAAAAATTTATATTAACTTAATTTGGTAAATCCTTTAAAAAAATAGCATTCAATTTTATATTTCATATATAACCTTATTTTTTTAATAATAAAGTAATTATCTATACTAACAATTTACGTATGAATATAAGAAAGAATTTTAATACGGAGTACTCATCATAAAGTAACCGTATAAATTTTTAATACAAAAATTGTAGTTACCTAATATCCAGATTGAATTAGTTGTTTTAAAAAAATCCTAACCCTAATGTATAAAATTACTATGAAGCAATAAAATAAAATAAAATAAAATTTTAAATTCGTACCTTTTTTATGTCCTTTTTGTTGTTGAAGTATTCTTTTTCTCTTTTTTCTTGCCTCCCTAGCTGATTCCGTTCATCTATCGTCAGGTTGATTTTCCATAATTTTAATTGATATGGAAAAGTAGGATTCTTCTACCAGCAACACTTTAGAACCCGGAAAGCTGAAGTTGGAATAATGATTCCCCCCTTTTTATCACATAATTGATTCTGAATACATTGGTATTCAAAGGGTAAAATGTCAATGGGTGGTGTAATGTGGATGACACATTTCAACTCATTAATTATATCTCTCACTTTTATAATAGAATTTCAACCCAAATATATATATGAGTTTCCATAAACATGCATATAAAAGTAAGCAATTTAAGTAATAAGAAAATAAGAAAGTAAGATCCATGATTAATGTAATAAACGATCTATTACTATTTAAAGTTTTATTCGGGTTTATTTATTATGGTCTATTTTATTTAACAATTTAAAATGAATAGTTTACTTAAATAGGATTAAAACATAATGACTTTCTCAATTGATGGGCCGATACCCAGTGGGCGGCCCAACTGAACCATTTACACTACTTCGGGTCAGACACTCCGAAAATACTCAGGTCTGGGCCGGCCCATGGAGCCAGGCCCGGTTGACTTTAGACCAAACGTAGCTGGCAGAGCCGGTCCAGAGAAGGAGACGGAGCAAATTGGCCGTTACAGAGCCGGAAAAAGGGGATCGCGCCCTTAACGGGATAGACTCCATCGATTAAGCGTTACCTTAAGTGCATATAGCTCATGTATAAATAGATGAGACCCAAAAGGAGGAAATTCAAGCTGGATGAAGCTAATAATACATACCCAATTCTCGAATTCTCGTTCTTAATTTTGTTCTTACGATCCGCTTCGTGAATCGGATCATTTGGTGGATTTATTGTCCATCAAATTGGTGCTCTCGTTGAGAGTTCGAGAATCATACTCAGAGGAAATCCTCCATTAAGACGATGGTGCAAACGCGCAGTAACGCCAATGTAGGTACCGGAGCTCCCCAACAGGGGGAGAACAGCACCACTGGAGGTCGGAACCTCCCATCACCACCGGGGAGGCTGAGGCCCTCATTCAGAGGGTTGGCATCACGGCCGAACAATTCAAAGAGGTGCTGGCTGCACTTGCGCCCAACCGCGAGGTTGTGGTGGAAGATGTGGCTGGGGGACCCACAGGCGGGAAGGCTGGACCTACAGGCTCCCAAGGAAAAAAGAAAAAAGTAAGGCGGTCCCAGAAGAAGAAGGCGACCAAGCCTAACGGGAAGGCTGTGATGGCTGATGCGCTTTCCAGGCTGGAAGAAGAGGACGACTCGTCCTCCTTCGAGCGAATGTCTGCTTTTGACCGTTTGGGAG